GGGGCCGTGGGGTCTAGATCAGGGCTATGTTGAAGGCTTTGCTGCTGTTTTGGTCGACTTGTCTGCAGTTTGACTTGGGCGGGTGGTTTATTGCGTAGTCCGCGTGAAACACAAAAAATGAAAAATGCGGTCCGACAAGTGTAAGAAGGGTGGTTTTGAGAGTTTTTTTTGGTCGTTTTTGTTGCTTACGAAAGCTTGCTCCAGTGGGTGGTCAAATTTGGTGCACGTTTGTGAAAATCTTCGGGGATCTTGGTGCATTCTTGGGACATATCCTTTTCCATATTGGCGCATTTCACCCAATGTTGGGGCTTCTCGTGGAGGTTGTTGGAAGTGATTGGGGACCGTGGGGTCTAGATCAGGGCTATGTTGAAGGCTTTGCTGCTGTTATGTCACTTGTTTCGCCCAATGCTGGGGCTCTCTTGAGGCTTCTCGTGGAGGTATGTTGGAAGTGATTGGGGCTGTGGGGTCTAGATCAGGGCTATGTTCAAGGCTTTGCTGCTGTTCTGTTACTTGTTTTGCAGCCATGTTGGTCCGCTTGGCTGCTTTATCTCTGCCGTTTGACTTGGGCAGGTGTTCTTTTGCGTAGAGTGTGTAAAGCACTATATATAAAATTATAGACCATGAAAAATGAGGTCCGGCAAGTGTAAGAAAGGTGGTTTTGACAATTTTTGGTCGTTATTGTTGCTTATGCAAGCTTGCTCCAGTGGGTGGTCAAATTTGAGGCATGTTTGTGCCAATCTTCGGCGATCTTGGTGCATTCTTGGGACATACCCTTTTCCATATTGGCACATTTCACCCAATGTTGGGGCTCTCTTGAGGCTTCTCGTGGAGGTATGTTGGATGTGATTGGGGCCGTGGGGGCTGGATCAGGGCTATGTTGAAGGCTTTGCTGCTGTTATGTTGCTTGTTTTGCGGCCATGTTGGTCCACTTGGCTGCTTTATCTCTGCCCGTTTGACTTGGCAGGCGGTCTTTTGCGTACTGTGCGTAAAACACCAGAAATCCATGAAACATGAGGTCCGACAAGTGTAAGAAAGGTGGCTTTGACAGTTTTTTGTCGTTTTTGTTGCTTACGAAAGCTTGCGCCAATGGGCAGTCAAATTTGGGGCATGTTGCGCCAATCTTCGGCGATCTTGGTGCATTCTTGGGACATATCCTTTTCCATATTGGCGCATTTCACCCAATGTTGGGGCTCTCTTGAGGCTTCTCGTGGAGGTATGTTGGAAGTGATTGGGGCTGTGGGATCTACGTTGAAGGCTTTGCTGCTGTTATTTTACTTTTTTGCGGCGATGTTCGTCCACTTGCCTGCTTTTTCTCTGCCGTTTGACTTGGGCAGGTAGTCTTTTTGCGTCATGTGTGTATAACATCGTAAAAACCGGACAGACTTAGGTCCGACAAGTGTATGGTTTCTCTGCCGTTCGACTTGGGCAGGTGGTCTTCTGCGTAGTGTGCGTAAAACACCGTAAAGACCGTGAACAAATTAGCTCCGACTACCCTGCAGCAATAAAATGTTGCTGCTCCGCTTTCCGTGTTTTTCCGACCTGGTTCGCAGGTCCTGACGCTTATCAGAAACTTGAGGGAGGGCTTCAGAAATCACCTTTTGCAATCTGGGGTGTTATACAGCCAATCTCTGAGTCCGACCTGTTGAATTTCCACCACCTGAGGACCTGGCATACAGAAAACACACGAACATACTTGAAAGCATGGTATTATGGTGTGACCTCCTCTATGTTTTGGTGGCTGTCCCGATTCCAACAACTCTTGTCTTGTCTTCAAGAAGGCCTCGCAACGTTTCCACTGGCATAGCACGGTGTTGCTTTCAATCGTTGGCGTGGGTGTCGTCAACGGGTGCGTTTAGAATCAAACACATGCCTTCTGGTTCCCCTTGTCTTCATCACCCAACTGCTTTACAAGGTTTGAACATGTTTCAACATACTCATGCTCGCCCGCTGACGTCAAGTTGACTTCTCTGCTCCATCCCATTCACACGCTCGCATCGAGCCACTCTGAAGGCTCAAAGACTGTGAGGGTACCAGCCTGGCGCAGGCTAAGACGCATTCATTTGGAGCTCCCGTTTCGGTCCAGCGTTTTAGGTGGTGAATCCCAAACATGGCGATGGTTGGATTTGAACGACGGAGGCTGCCTTGTCTTGTTTCTTTCAAGGCTTTGGAAAGAAAGGCAAACCCAAAGGAAAACCAACTCAATAACTGCAACAGACAACATCACAACACTTCCATGTATGATTGCCTCCAAACGTTGCGGGGGAGGAAGACAAAACAGGTGGAGATGGGCGAACGTGTCATGGCTTTTCACCAATTGAAATTGGTGTCTTACAAAGGCAGGCCCCTTTCATCACCAACCTTCACGGATGCTGCTCACTTTGGGCCCTAGCTGTTCTCATGCAAGCGGGTGCTAGCAAGTTGTTGAAACATATTGGAAAGCTGATGATTTGTGTAGCTGTTAGATGCTTTCTGCACGTGTAAAAAGATAAAAACAGCAAACAAACACACAAACACACACACAAACACTTTTGCCCGAATCAATTTTGAGAAGACTGCTTTGTTGAAATCAAGTACTTTCCTCTTCGTTGGAACTGCTTTGTACCAGAAAGGCTGAAGCTTCCACCACTTTAGAGGGCCTATACAATAGCACCCTCCAACATCTCATTCTCCCTGCGACTCGCAAGTCTGCAAAGTCCACCATTTCGGAGACCCGTTGAGTCGGGTCCTGGTACTATAATTGCTTTTCTTGGACCACCGGGACCAAGAAAAGCGCTGGACACGAAAGACTTCCAGCGCTCCATGAGTGTTTCTTGATCTGTCCTGCCACAGTCTAACCTGTCACCGTGTCCTGCCCAACCGCTTCACACCCAACAGTCCGAGAAAAGAAAACACATATGGCTGTGGGTGAACAGAGCGGATTTGGTTGACCTACCTGGTGTTTGGTCGCTACACGATGGACCAGGGCTCCAGGCTGGGTGCTCAAATCCATGGGTCACCCGGCAGCACGAGCACTACGGTGTTTCATTCCCGGATGTGCCAGAAACAAACTGAGCTTCGGAGAAAGTTGGGAGAACTGAAGGTAAGACCAAGTGGTTCACTCATGTTCACTCCCTTCAGTTTTCTATCAGTTTCCCTTCCCTTCCAACGTTCCGACGTTCTATGCTCGCCTTCTCAATAGACCCAAACACCACCTCCCCCTACGTCACGTCGGTGACGACGGCTTCGCCTCCATCTTGGGATTGGAGGCGCCAGGGGGGTTGGGCGGATCCAAACATCCTGGTTGCCCAAAGGCGGCCAGGACATACCTGAAGCAGCACGTGCTTTGCGCCGGCGTGAAGCAGGTGTTGGGGCAAAAGGGGAGTACTGTGAAGATAAGGGAGATGGCAGTGCTGACAAAGACTTGCATCTAAAGTTCCCAGTTTCGTGCTGAACCCACTTTGATGCATTTTGGATGGGTTGAACGATTGAAGCATCCAAGCAAGGCCGTCCCATATGCCATCCATCCAAACTGGCTGAACTATATATCCTTTGCCGCCCCAAAGCTTGCAAATCTTTCACTTTGGGAGGCATCTGTGTCAGCCAACCACCCGTCGCCCCGAGAAACCGAGCGCGCCGAGTGACGTCATCTGGCACAAGTCCATGTGGATGGCCTCACTGGTGAAGATCGCCATCTTCCTGAGAGAAGGGGCAATGTTGCCACGTTTTTGCAGGTTCTTGCGACATATCCATTTAAGCAAGAGAGGGATGTGAGAAATGTTTTTGCTGGAAGACATGAGAAGCTTCGAAGAACAATTGAAGAAAGTAAGGTGTTCAGGACATGTTTCAGGAATGAGGTGTTTGAGTGTGTGGGCAAAAGAAATCAAAAAATAGGAGAGGAGAGAGAAGTGCTGAGAGGAAGAGGGGCTGTGTGGGCTAACAAGCCAGAAAACGGAATACTCACTCCTCAAATCCCAGGATCCCTACGGATCAATGTTCAGGGCTCCGGCGCAGCCGGTCCAGCTGCGTGCAGAGACGGATGCAGATGCAACGAGACGACTCGAGAGGAGAGCTGGTTTGCCCGTTGGAGGCCGGATCAAGGCGCTTCTTCGGTTTGGTGAAGTGGCCGAAATTCCGAGAGGTCTTGGATACCTTCTGTCGACCTCTTTTCCGGTCGACTGCAGGGATGGCTTGGATTTCAGGGATCCTGCCCAACGTGTGAATCCTACGCGAATACATCTTGCGGGCCAGGCCAAAAACGTGGGAGAGACCAAAATAGCTTCAAAAAACACCTGGACAACAGCTTAATCCAGCTACAAGATGCTACACGACTCCAAGTCTGTACATTTCCTCTGCCGCCTGGCCCTCAAAAGAGATCTGGCCTTCACAAGGGGGCTGAGTCGTAGACCTTCGTTGCAAAAACCTATGACACCAAAGCTGTGCCTCTCAACCTGTCGGATTCTTGCCCTCGAACTAATTCGGAGGTTCTGTGCTTCTTCTGCAGCTGAAAGACATGACTTTCCTCCTCAACAAGGGGATGTGGCCCACATCCTCAGGATGGAAAGCTGCCAGCCCCGAACCGAACCTCCGTGGAAGCTGCCAGCCCCGAACCGAACCGGACGACGAGACCTCTCGTCGACGGAGAACAACCGGCTGGTGCTCCGTCTCGGTGGCGCCAGAGACGTCGACGGATCCGATTCATTCTTTCGAAGTGGAGGAACTGCCATAGCCCTGAGCAGGCAGCTGAGTCCACTCGATCTATGTTGTTCATACATGTTCATACTACACAGTCTTGTGACTGTCTTGGATGAGTGATGATAGTGGGTGTTGATCGGAGAAACATGGGGGGCCATCGTGTTGTCGGGACATCAATTCACCACTGCCATCGACTGCCGCCACCGTCGACAGACGGAGAGGTCTCCATCGTTCGAAGGATCGAGAAGGTACGGTGGTGTCATGTGACTCAGACGTCTGCTCACTCAGACGTCTACTCAATGCTTTGGACTGATGTGAAACCCAACTGAACAGAAGATTGAAAAGCGAAACATACCTGAGGCTACCTTTGATTGCCAAGACTGCCCCAAAAAGCTGCATCATCTACACAAACCTCAACCCTCATTCAACCTCTCAGATCCAAAAAGCACAAAAAGACTTGGCAAACTGCTATCTACGTACAGTATCTAAAGATATCTAAACCACTGCTGTGGATGTGGAAAGATGCATGGATGTGAGACAAGAGTTTGTTGGAACTTGACTTGCTTCCACAGCCAGGATGTTTCCACGGCCAGGGGCATCATAGATGCCGGCATCACCCACAGCTTGCTCGTAGCTCCTCGGCCGCCCAACTCTCGGAGGCGGCACGTCGCAAACGTGAATCAAAACGCACTTTCCAAACGCAGCTCGTCCAAACCACTGCGCAGCTCGTCCCAAACACTGCGAAGTGGCGACGACGTCCTTCAATTGCTTCGCTCGACTAGGTGACCTCTTAGGGCCTTCAGGTTCCAGTGGAATCACCCCCGGTTTTGAGGAAAAGCTGCATTCAACATTTGTGAGCGTCTTTTTCCCACCTCGTTCTCGTGCCGTTCGGATCTACACTCAAGTCCCGTGGCCACCGAGACTGGTCCCGATGGTCTCGGCGACCGTCGGTATGCGCGGACCGGGAGAGTTCACGGACCGTGTGCGCTCGGTATATGATTATAAGCCGTTCGGATCTTCCGGCCAGTAAATGTTTGGTCATGTAGACTCTTCGATTGAATAAACCCCCCTCGATTGAATGAACGAAATCCTCTTCAAATGGAGGGTTTATTCATCAAGAGTCTACAGTAAGTGTTTGGTCCAGTGAGGGCTTTTCACATCTTCAAAACAGAACCACCAAGAGCTGAGAGCTTAAGAGCTTCAGTGTCTTCGTGTGGCTTGGCGCAGAAAACACCAGGCGGTTGCCACGTCAATCCAAGGGGCACAGGTACCGCGTTGGCGTCCAGGTCCTGAGGACCGAGGTGTGATGAAGCAAACGCAGCACCTTCCAAGGAATCACCTCACCGTTTGATCATGCTAAAAACTCCATTGGAACTGTTGAAAGGTGGAGCTTGGATATGAAAGAGATCACTTCAGAAGGGAAGCTCAACGAATCCGCCAACCTCCGTCGTCTCCTGTCGCTAACCTCCGACCCAATTTCGGCCAAGGAGCCAGGGGAGACCAAATCTCAGCATGCGGCAGGAGCTTCTCTCCCTCCGCGATCAAACAGTGCGGAATCCTCCAAAGAAGCTCAGGGGAGCTGAGATGGAAAAAAGAACTGAGATAGGGGAGCTGATTTAGTCCTCGCCCCCATCAGAACGCAAGCACCTAGTCCAAAGGTCACACAAACTCCGCATCTTGACTTGTCACCCACATCTTCCTTCTCTAGAAACAAACCACATCAAGGGTCCCCCGTTCCCCACGTCCCTGGACCTTTCTCGCCCCTTTCTCGCCCATCTTCACCGCAGCCCGCCCATCTCCTGTCGGCCCAGGTCCGGATCTGAAAGTCCGCCACATAGGCCGTGGCCACGCCCTGCCACGTGGCCAAATCCCCGAAGTTCACCCAGCCGCGGTTCAACTGCACCCTGGGCGAGAGACATTAAGACAGACGCGACTGGTCAAACGACGCGTCGCGCCAGTGACCAGTCTGGTCGGTTTGGGTCGGTGCAGAGGTGTGGACGGGCGGAGTGGTCAGAGGCGAGCGGGACTCCCCTTGTGTTCGGCAGAATCGAGCTGGGCGTGTCTTGAAAACATAGAATTCGCACATACCAAGTGGGAGTGGAGAAAAGTAAAGGCGCTTCAGGAAGAACAGCCGGACTCTCAAAACCGGTGGGTTTCGGGTCCTGCGACATGGGCTGCAAGACAATTTTGTTGGAGAAACTCGTGCATACATACCTTTGAAAACTCCTAGTGAAATTCCAAACTCATGATGTTTTTGCAAACCCGTTCAGCAAAAATCTGGGGCCAAATGGGGCCGACTGGGAGATACGACTTGGCAGCAGCCACAGAGCTGGAGGGTTGGCGAAAGAAACACGTGTTTTTTCCTCAACCTCCTTTTCCATGTTTACAAAAAAACGACTGACGGACTGAGACTGGACAGTTCGCCTAGATCGTTTTTTCTCGGCTTAGATCCTTTGCTTAGGCTTAGACGGAACGTGATTGGGGAACTCATCCAAGGTGTGTATCGTCTTTTGGCTCACTGAGCTGGTCTTCATGTCAAGAAAAACATGCCATCCGGGGGGCAACACGAACACCCAACAAGTTTGGATGATAGTTTATCTCAAATCAGGGATATATCCTGCATACTATCCTGCATATACCTAAGTCAACCATCCAAAATCCGAGAACAACTAAAGCCCATGTTCACTCTATGAGAACACTGTCCACATGGTGAAGTCATGAGTCATGACATGTCATGACAATTTGTGTTCTTTTTGGAGCTCCGAAATCTACCGAACCCCCCGTAGTTGAGACATCACACACATCCATAGAACAGCTACTCTCCGGGGTTCCACCACCGACATCTTCAAGGCGCTTCAATGTACATGCTGTTCCTTCGTCGTCGTCTGACATCTGATAATGATGTTTTATGCTGTTGTTTGCATAAACAAAAGTGATCCACTTACTGATCTCCACCACCTGCCCACATTCTGTCGAAGGAACGAGAGCTCCGGGTTGCTTTCATTCCAGGGGTTCAGCATCTTCGAATCCCAGGCGAAGGGTTCCAGCAGCAAATCCCCCAAGCCATGCCCAATCTTGCTCCTTGGAAGGCCAGGGGAAGACTGGGAAAATCACCAGATACCTAAAGGGTACATAGGGTTGAATTCCCAACCATCTCCTTTCATCTCCTTTCTCCCAACTTCAGGAGAAACAACAAACAAACCTCTGAGAGTCCAGTGAGAGTCATGACGAGTCAAAGTGTCTGGTTCTTGCTATACGCCGGCACCGTGCCCGTGTAGAGAGGTGTTTGCTCCAAGGGGAAGGTCCGCAGCGAGTCCTGAGCAGGTCAGGACTCGTCAGAGAAGACCATCCAGACCAATGGTCGGGGTGGTGATGCGTTCGATCTGGCGCCATGGTACGCTTACATGTTGGATATGGATGGATATAGATAGGATATCATATGAAATGGGTAATTATTGGGTCCTGCATGAGAATTGGAATAGGTGAAGAGTATTTACTGATCCAATTGGTTTACTCATGTTTGTCTATGTTTGGCTCTTCCAACGTACGGTCTTTGGATCTCTTTGGATCATCTTCATCGTACGCCCCATTCCCATTCCAACCAGGTGACCCGTGTCTGGAAGTTCTGAATGAAATTCGCATCTGAAAGGTTAACCGTGATGCGCAAACCCTGCGCGACCAACCATGGTTGGTCGCGGCTCCAGAACCGTTGCACAGTCACTGTGCTGGAGTGTACTGTCAGACAAATGCCAAGCGGATGTGAACATGTAGTGCCAAAAAAGTTAGAGTTGAGGCGGGAGTATACCTTGGACAGGTTGCAGAAAGTCTTCCGAACTGGACAGGCCTAGTGTGTTTGGAGAGGTAGAGCAAACCCGGTCAAAGGGTAAGCAAGACATCAGGATGAAACGTGTACCAGCTTCCCTGAATTCCTGTCGATTTTCCTGACCACTGTCATTGGTTGACCGTCATGGTTCCGTTCCCGTCATGGGTCAACTGTTACCCAGTGTATCCCAGTTACCACATGTTACCACTATATAAGGAAACAGAGATCGTAGGTCTATAGCGTATGGTTTTAGTCTTTAAAAACCGCTGTAGTGACTGTAGTGGTGACTGGCTGTGACCTCCCCATCGTCTTCCCATGACGCACAGTCTGTCCTTGGTCTCGAGCCCTGTGTATGGCGCTAGAATCGCGGACTGCGAGAGGAGGAAGGGCAACTTCCGCGAGACGTCCTCAGAGTCTTGACAAGAGCCCCGCGGGAGAAATCAAAGTTTGTTTTGGGGGGGGTGCCCCTGCGGATTTAGGGGGAGATCCAGGCAGATCTTCCTGGTTTGGTCATTCTTGAGGCAATGTCTGGAAAAAGTCAAAAAAGTGTTCAAGACTGTTGACATCCCTGTAGTACAGGAGATTTCTTTCAGTTTGCTTTTCTTGGACATCATCAAACACCATGGAATGGGGACCGTGCTGTTTTGTGGCTGGACTGGCATCATGGGCTGGATAACAATTCAATTTGGGAGCTACAATAGTTGCCACAAGTCGCACAAGAAAGAGTCACCAACACGAAAAAGTGGAAGTCTGGCAGCCCAATATCAGTCACCAAGTGTACTTTCGCGGTAATTCTCACCCCCACCATGCCACCATCAAGCATCTTTGGCGGTGTAGATGGTCTTGGAGGGGAACTGCTTCTTCATCCGCTCCAGCTGGGACTCATGGCAATGCACCGAGTCATAGCCTCGGTCGTTGGCCGACCCGACCACCGGCCGGTGGCACGGTGTGGGTGTGGGTGTCCGTCCTGCCGATGTCCGTCGTCCCGAAACAAGGACTGCTCTTGAAGGGTTCGAAATCCTGCCGAAATCCAAGAGCACACAGAAAGAACATGAAAGAAGGATACCAACTTGTTTGACCTTTGAAAAAGGCTTTCCCACAACGAGCGCCTCCCACGCACCTCTCCCAGCGCCTCCCCGAGCCAAGCCGCCGGCCAGTTCGAAGGGGTGCAGGAAAATGGAGGCGCTGAAGAGAGGCCAAAGCCTTGGTTTTGTTGCGGTGCCATGGTTTTTCAGGTCGCAACACCGCGTACAGTGGCGAGAGGTCCAATTGGTGCCAATCTCTTCTGTGCACATGAAGACTCTTTTATTATTATAAGACTAGTCTGATGAACACTACAAAGGAACTAAACACACACACGCAAAATGGCGGGTCGATCGGCTCTTGCAGCTAAGATCTTCACAGTCCAAATCTAAGGTCTTTGGCCCCCCACGTACTCTTTGGAAAACGCCAATCTTGCCCGCTCAGTTTCAGAGAACAAAGGTGATCAGATGTGATCACCATTTATAAGCCTGTTCATTTTGAAGCAAGAAAAACAGGGTTCAAGGTGAATCACCGCACTTGTTAGTGCCTGGACTGCGACCATCCATCCATTCAGGTCGCTGGTAGGCAGATCCTGGGAAGCGGCTCACCATGCATGCACACCAGCCTGATGCAATTCGAAACGTGTGGACTCGCAGGGGGGTCCGGTCCCCCTGGTTGCAGAGCTCCATTCAAGTGATCAACATGATTGACTGGGGTGATAAGGTTCGACATAGGGTGGACTGCAAGGGCCCTCTGCTTGGTTTGCGGACAGATCGTGCACGATTTACACTTGTCTGTGTGACACCCCTGGCACATGCTTGAAAATGCAGCCGGTTCCTTCATCTGTCGGGCAGTCCAACATGCTGGCCGCTGTGAGGTTGTCACTGGCATTCAAGCGCCGCAGCCGGGGTCGCTTAGGTTCATGTCCTCGGCTGAGGAAGCTCCAAAGGCTTCGCAAAAGCTATACTTGTCATGCAAACATGCGTTGATGCTTGGAAAAGCAAACAGGATAGGATACCAGGCTATTATCCAATTGGGATCCAATGGATCGATAACACCATTAAGAGTTTGTCCTCTCATGACATCGTTGCTCACATCCATGCTGAGCATTGGGTGAGTTGGGTGGGTTGTAAGACATCTGTCATCCCTGTCATCCCTGTCACGGTTTTTGTTCTGCAAAAAGGAAACGAACAAAACAACACCGATCAAGCATACACTTGGATGGGATAGCAGCCGGTATGTTGATGTGATGTATTTTGCTCTGCCTTCTTCGCCAGCGCAAGAGCAAAACACCCTCAGTGTCCTCACGATGCGAAGTTGGTCACCCAAACAAACTCCCAATGCTGTGGAAGCTTTGATTCTGAACAAGTGAGGAGCGGAGTCCTTGTGCTTTCGGTGGTTCCACGAACGTCAAGTGGTGACAACTCCAGGTTGTCATGCTGTCGAAGCCTCTAAACATGTCTGGCTTTGTTTTACCACCAAGCCATCAACTTGGGTGTGCGCGTCTCCACATGTGTCTCTACATGTCCAACCTTTCAACCCGTGAATTTCTTCTCAGCGTCAGCGTTCGGGCCTCACCGACCAGCGGGGGAAGTCGGTGAAGCAGTTGGACGGAGGGACACCGGGACCCCAGGCAGAGCCAGCCCCACTTAACATCACTTAAGATGTCCAAGAACCAAACATCCCCTTCGGAACGTGGAACATCGGGGGCATAGTCCAACTACGGCCCATCACTGGCAGATTTCATGGACCCGATGAAGAACGCCGATTTCACTGATCGAAAAGCTGGCTTCGCCTGTCCAACGGCCCTTTCTGCGCCCAAGCGGCCCTTCGGGTATTCCCTGAGCTCGGAGAGCCGCGAGATGCCAGTGCCTCTCCGAGAGCGTCGGTGCTCCGGTGTCCCTGTCCGCAGATCCGGTCGGCACCTTCCGTTTGGACTGACAAGTCCGGTAAATCCGAGTTCACAAGTCTGAGTCTCTTTTGGTTTTTTACGAGTCACCCCGGGATATATCATAAAACATGGCGCAGTCTGGAAGGCAATGATAAATTTGAACCAGAATGATTCTATTTTTGGTGTGAGTATATGGTTCAAGAATATCTACATGATCATTCATGGTATTGTAGTTCGGTATCGTCATCGTCGGCGTTTTGCTGCCCATTGTGCCTGTCTCTTGCAGCAGGGTCTTCGGGAGCATCTGGTCGAAAGGCAAGGTACGGCCCAAATACGTCTCCAGGCTGTCCAAAGTCTGGTAGTAAAATGGAATACCTGCCGGCCCGAGAGTGTGGCATTCCTTTTCATAACCTCTTCTTGGCATTGTGGCACTGTGCAGTCTGGTTGGTGCGCATGTTCTTGAAAGGACAATAGATATAATGATTACATGTGTTTAGAGACTATGCTCGGAAAGAACCACCGGAATGTCAGTGGCATTCTACACCTTTAGCCGTGTACCGTACGTAGAAATCCAACGCCAAGGAACCCAGCCACACAGAGCCGCTGGTGACGCTCAAATACTTGGCCTTCTCTAAAAGACCTGAGAGAAGCAAACATCCTTCACGGTGACTCTGACGCTACCATTGGAGGTGAACCTGACGCTACACCATCTGTGTCAAGACCTTGTTGAAGAATGCCTTCACCTTGCAGAAATATGAAGGCACCTTTTCTGCGAGATCCTGCAATTACTAATTATCCTATGAGACTGAGCAATGCAAGGCTGGTTTGTTGGGTCTTCTGTTTCTGTTTCGCATGACATTGAGGCCAGAGTGGTCAGAGTGGGTATGTCCCGATCTTGCTCGCTCTTCCCTGGACCCAAGTCGTACAACAAGTCGTACAACCAAACACTGCGACGGATGACCTGCTTCTCTCATCTCACGAAGGATGCCGTGACCCAAGGCCAAGCCTGAAGACACGGAGAAGACACACGCCGAATCGGCTAATACCATGCCCAGTTCGGCGGTTCGAACTGATCCAGTTCGGGTTCGAGTCGGAGGTCGGTCTTCGGGGCATGTTCCACTTCGAGTTCGAGCTCGAATCGGCTGCAGGAGCAGGGGGGGCAAAAGAAGTGAAGCCCTATGGCACGCCTAGAGAGAGCATCTTCTACACCACACCATCCGCCACCCCACCCATCACTCCCCTAAGCCAAGCCCAAAGCAACCCTAAAGATCCCAAAGAAACTGAAGCGCTAAGCCGCTAAGCAAAGCAAAAAAGACTAAAGAAGTGAAACCCGCAAACCCAGCGAACCCCCAGCAAGACAAGCCTAAAGGCCCAAAGAAACCCTAAAGTAGTGAAGCCCTTCGCCAAAGCCAAAGAAACCCCAAAGCCCTAAGTCAAGACTAGAGACTAAAGGAACCCAAAAAGGGGAGACCCAAACACCCCGAACATCACTCACCTACGAAGCCTTCTATGCTTCCAAGGTTGAGTTCCAACTGTTCCATGGCAGTTAGAGTTCACGAGCTCGAGTGGCACACAGTGCTTTCGGGAGTGTCTGTGACAAAAACACCTGCGAACCTTGGTTGGGCTGCAACACAATCCAAAACACGATTAATTATAGCTGTGGAAAGCTCTTACCAGGTCCATGGTCCCATACTTTGCCAAAAGCAAATAATCCCCCGCGGAGCAAGTGCTTGAGAAGCCAACCTGCAGCCTCGACACCACCCTCAACACCTAAATAAGAAACTTCTTAAAAGGCACCCCGGACCCTCCAACGTGGGACATGGCTCACAATCTCATTGACCCTACAATACATGACAATGGCCCATTTGGTTGTGGGTCAAAGCCAGGATAAAATGGTGGACGACCAGTTGGGCGAACATGGTGGGTCACGACCCATTCCCGGCAAACTACCAGGACCAGCCAGGAGTGACCATCCTGATTGGGTGTCCTGGCTGGACTACACGACTGGCTGGGGTCTGCATTGGACACCCAGATGGTCCAGGTACCTCTTTTACCGTGGGTCGTTTGGGACCAGTCGAGAACACCCCCGCGCCGGGAGAACCGGCCTCGAGCCCCGCCACCTGCAAGGGCAATACCTCGAGGTGAGGGCTGTGTCGGCTGCCTGGGGTTGTGGAAGTCTCCAAACGGATCCCACAAAGACCTGCGAAAAAAACAGATGTACAGCGACAGTGATGAACGTCTAACTGTCTGGCCATCTTTGACTCTTTAACATGGAAGTGGAACATGCCCTTTAAAGGACTAAGGACTACTTTCTAAGGAACAGGGGGGTCCACTTCCATGATAGTCACTCAGAGTGTATCACTGATAGTCACTCCAGTTCACCCATTGCGACCTGATCCACCTGTTTGATCCGGAATCCGTTCGCTCGAATTGCCCAGATGCCAAACTCCTTTCCAGCCAAGTGCTGGGCCAGTGATGCAGACCATTCCTGCCCCGGGCGATCGTGGGCGGACCCGACGATGGGTCTAAAGGGTGTGAATCCATCGATCGACTGGTTCATTGATGTATACTACGTATATATGGACACCAAATCATACAGAGAAAAACAATGCTATAATGATGTCCCCTGTATGTATATATAAATATATATGGATGTGCAATACTTGCTAACGAAAAAAACATATTGGGCTGTCTGGAGGGATGATCATTCCAAGTCTTTCACTGATGTTTTGGAGTTTCAGCACTCAATGCAAATCAGTTGAAGCTCGGGTGTGGGGATTGTTTGTTGGTCCGTCTTTTCCCATTCGTCCCTTTGATATTGCTTGATTGTCTGTTTGTTGTTTCAAGCCCTGGTCCAAACAGAATCCTGCTTTGGTTGAAGCCTGAAATGAAACCAACCATCCAGGGTAAGGGAGGAGTCGTCGACTCGGACTCCGAATACCAAGACCTCTCTTGCGGGGCTCCTACATGTTAATTGGGCTTCAGTTGCCTTCTCGGAATCTTCTGCATCAGGTGGTTGGAGCCGTGGCTGTGGTGTGTTTCCGCTTTCCCAGAAAGTCTAACTGAAGCAGAAACGTCTTCCACACATCCGGGTCCATTCCACTGTCAAACGAACATGTGTCAGACCTCAGGTCGGTCGCTCGTCCATGTGCCTCGGCATTCTCCGGAAAAACAAAGTTGCTCTCGGAGGGCCGCCAAGCACGGCTCGCTGTCCCCGAGGAGGTCGGCACCGAAGAGGTCAGCGCAAGCGCCCAGGAGAGGAGGAGCGTCATGGGCGACGCGAAGCAAAGCGGAGGGCAATCAAACTTTTGAACTGGATGCCGGTCCTCTTTTTAAGATAAGATGTGTGTCCATTTTTTCTTTTGAATTGTTCAATGTTTGCCCGAGGCCTTGCTTGAATGCAGTTCAAGGATCATTTTATCAAGAATCTCTGGAAAGAAAATCACCAAAACGCTTGACTACGTCCAGGTCTTTGGTGAGCTTGAAAGTGACGCTTAGTTGACGTATGTTGACGTATGTTTCGCTGGATTTGAAGGTTTCTGGACTGGATTTCGCCAAGCAATTTTCAAGTCTTTGGATTGCACATGATGAAAATCATGTGTCATGAACGAGCAGCTGGGCGATGCGGAATCGTCACCGTCTGGACTCGGTGGGAGAAAACCACGCTGGGCGGAATAGCCCAGCGAGCGGACTCTGGGGATCTTGTCTTCACTTTCAAAC